TGAAAAATATAAGAAGCTTGTTTATGGACATCTTAAAAGGTTATATATAGTTTGCCGAAAAAACGAATTTTTCAGAATTTTCTCTGAGAAAACTTATTGATCCAAATATTTGTGCACACATTATTGTTTCTTTTAACTGTATTTTAAGGCTTAGTATTAGTAAAAATATTTATTTGGAAAGGTGCTACAGCTGATATCCGGAAGCTCCTCTCAAAAAAGACGTTTTGTGGTAAGCACAATATCTTCTATCTAGTAGAAAAAAACAAATAGATTTCGAGAAATAAGCAAAATAACATGTTTTGACAAAATACCAGTTTCTAAAAAAATCGATTTTTGACCAAATATCGTCTCTATATTATTTTTAAAAAAGTATTTATCGATGAGGGAAAATATTCGACTAATTATGGCTTTGAAACACCATTAAAGTTTGGATTTCTGTGTATATTCTTAAACATATGTACATTAAGCAAATATAACACAAAAAAAAAAAAAAAAATCGATTTTTATGAAATTTCTATTTGTATATAACACCTTAATAAAGGTATGTCAATTCAGAGCTGTATTCTATCAATTAGTTACTAGATATAATCTGTTAGTAAAATGCTGCCATTCAATTGATATATTGTGTTTGCATAAATATTATTCTTTATTTGTACGCGTGTGTTAAAATGCCAACTTCCGTCAGATTATCACGTATTAAAACACCCCCAAATATATTCTCTTCGACTTCAAATATTTACCGCTGTTGATTTAGCACATTCGCAAATAATTGCGCAATAAATTCTGAAACCATTTGATTTAGCGACCAATAGTACAGCACCTACGCCATAATTCCGTATTTATTGACATTCGGTTTACAGCTGGATTTGATTATATTAAATCGCATAGTCGACTTTAGCGTCCGCTATTTGCAATTGTATGCTGCCTGTTATTAACGTTGTTGAAATAGCTGTAATTAGAATGTGATTGTTGGTCATATTTATGCCAGGTGGTTAACATCGGTGCGGCTTGCCTACTTTATCTTAAAATTAAAACGAAATCAATATTAAGTTTTTGGCAATATTGGGTGATTTATATTGCTTGAATATATTCGCTATTACCACAGTAATATATTGCACAACTATAAATCCATTTTTTTGTTTTGCGAAATAGACCAAATGGATATCTTTGAGAGCTTGAGTCTTTATTAAAAAAATGTTTTCGTTTTTCCAAGTTGGCATCCAGATCGATAATTTGTTTTCGAAATTAACATTATTGAAAAGTCATTATTTATTATGGTCTATAAGGTCGCAAAAAAAGTAAAAATATGGGCTACATCTACGGTTGCCTCTCATTGTATAAAGTTTGTCGGTGAAGTTGTATGGCAGATGTTATAAACTCGGGTCAGTATTTTTTGGAATATAAAACTTGTATTACCTCTTACCGAATCATAGATAGATAGAAAGCAATTGAGGTTTTGCACTGCGTCCTATGGTCTATTGTGCCCTATCTTATATCACATATGGTCACAAAAGTCCAGCACACTGAATCATAAGGAGCTGTGCCCGATGGAGGTGATGTTATCCCTGTCCACATAGATGGATTCAAAGGCCTTTGTCCTGCTTCTACAAACTGTTGGGCAATCTAGAATCAGGTGTTCTGGAGTTTCCGGATCCATGTCTCAAAGTTGGAAGTTTGCATAAGAGATTATGCCCACGTCGGACAAGTGTTTCTTGAGCGCGACAAGAAGACGGAATTTGTCTTGGGAGAGACCAGTCATATCTCTAAACCTTGTTAGGGTGTAACCTCCCAACATTCACTTGGCATGGCGCATTCCTGCTGCCAGTGCTGTTCTCTCTCAACTCTCTCCCCCGAGCGGAGCAACTCCTTCTTTATGGTGTGGGACCCTGCCGTATTGCATGGTTTTGGTCCCATCAATCTGGAAGCCGTTGCTCATTGCCGGCTACCCCTTTATGCCCCACCTCCCAGATTACGTGTACATGTACCTCGACGAATAGCAATTTGACTTCATAAGCTGAGATCGCTTTTAGTGGCGCTTGACTATCGCTGGGTATGGCGATATGTTGTTTGCGATAATAGCGTTGGAGGTTGATTGCTGTACACTGCAAAGACTTCTGGTTGAAAATACTCGGTAAACATCTCATTGATATGAATAGATTTGTATGCGGTCCTGCACTGACTGCTTTAATGCTTTTCGGTGTTTTCGAGCCGTCAGTATACTATTGGGTAATGCTGCCTCTCAGAAGTAGGTGGAGCGTAGAATCACGCCACGCCGCCTTACTGTCGAGAGTAACTTTAAACTTCTTTGTGAAGTGTAACCTCTTCGTAACGTGTCTTGGAAAAAGGGCCAGTATTGTGCCTTCTTCTATGCCCTTCATTTGTTGAGACGACAATATCTTTCCTTTGCCAAAACTCTCTGCTGCCATGAGCAGTATGGTATGCTTCATGTTTGATTGGTAGATGCAGCGGCGTTAGCTTCAGCATGACTTCAACTGATGCGGTTGGGCAAGTGTACATTGCCTCTGAAGCGCAGACACAGCAGAGCATTTGCAGCTTCGATAGTTGAAGGCCTACCGAAGACTGCGTTGTCCTCGATGCCCCAGCAACCGCTCCTGCTGATACCTTGCAGTCCCAGGATTTACCGATTAGGCGTTTGTATTTCATGAGTGAATTGGTGGCTCTGGACAACGCTAATTCCACATACCTATTTCACCGAAGGGGTGAGTTTAATGTAAGACCTAGGAATTTTACCTCTTTTGGCAAACTCAACTCCCTGCCACCAAGTGTTAGAAGCCTCAAGCCTGGAAGAGATATTCGCTTTGTTAAAGGGACAACGGTTGTTTTAGAATCAGATAAGCTTGTCTGAAAACTGTTATATACCATTATGGAAAAGGAAAAAATTAATTACTTTTGCAGTAATTGCATTTTATAATTAATAATAAAGACTTGCTCTTTGGGGGTTAAATTCAAAAATGAATCTGTCCGTAAAGTAGAAACAAGCCTTTCTGATTGAATTCATAAATTTTTTTGTCGAGGTTTCATGAACTTATTATTTTTACTTTAATTGCAATTAATTTATTAATAAGAGTTTAGGATAGTCAACCTTAAATTAAATACGGAGCTGACATATTGAGTATTCAGTGATGGAGAGAGAAAGAAAAAATGTTCATAAAAGATAGTATATACTCAGTGTACTTTAAAAAATCTTAAAACGTTTACAAAAGCTCCAGATTACAAAACAATTTAATGTATATATTTATGAGGCTTGTGTAGATTGTGGACACCTTGTCCTATACGTACATTCGACTTGTGCAGCTGAACGATTTCCGACAAGGTTAACTGCACTAGCGCCCTCCTATATCTGCACCGACACAATAAATTAACACATAACTAGTTGGTGTGAATCGAATAGGATTACAAAATAACTGCGTTATTACTCAGATTCTTGTCACTTTTACAGAGCACAGTGTGCGGACATGACCTACAGCTAGAAGTCATTGCGCATGCAACAAGCTGGAATGTTGAGAATAACAAATACGCTTAATATGTCGGCGACTAAGGCGAAATCTGAAAGAGAATTCCAGCTCCCATACGTGCAAAAAAGCTTTCAAGGCAAACGATATCTAATATTGTGCTGTCTTTACCTTGGATGGCGCTGAAATGCGACTTTTTGCACACATATGTATGAGTATGTGTGCCACAATTGCCGCTAGCCATGCGGTTTTAAGCTGATGTAAGATACAAACTAGGAAAAAAGCTGGAAAAAAGTAATTTGTTTCATGCGTTAGCAAATTTTTCTCACCGGGTGCGAAATGCATTTGGTATGAGTCATATATAAGTCTGTCTGCCGCTTTTGATGAAATGAAAATAACAACATACCTTCCGTTGAAGCGTTGATGCCTTCACAGTCACTATGAAATACATTAGCTTCACTGCTGTCCTCGTATTTGCCCTCGTATTTGACAACATACAGGATCAGGCAAAAATGGGAGCTAGAAGGTAGAGAATATTATCGTCGAGAATTTCTCATTATCTGCAGGTGTATAAGTGTCTGTATGCACGACCATTTCGGTTGCCGATTTCACCTTCACCTTATTTAAGCACCTTTTTTCATTTCCCCTCATAAAGTTCAGCGCACACTGAAGATAATGATGCGTAAGGCTCATTCATGCGCGCATGACTATGTGTGTGTTGTGTCGGCGTAAGCGCCTGTGATTATTTGGCTTTGTATCTAATTAAACTGAAGCATTCTTTTATGTACCAGCACCCGCATCATTATGTGCAATGTTCCTTTCACTTTTTCAGTTATGCTGTGTATTTTGCTCGAGTATGTCTTGTTATGTAATCGTGTGTACTATATGCGCGCTGAATTCTTATATACTTTTGCTCGCTGCATGGGAATTGCACTTTAATAAAGGCGAGCGGCTGCTCTCGAATTTCGTGTGAGTTATGGCCTGCTTATCACTTTTTAAGCTCAAACATAATAAAATAAATTAATTAAAATCACTTGATAATCACTTTCGCAATCCTCTAAATACTGAAATGTGCACGTTTTTTTTGAAATAGGGCTTTGTTGCGTCGGTGTGTCTTACTTGGAGGACAACATTGTATGTAAAATCGGTGGTAAATTTAAAGTAATTAGTTTAGGCAGTCAAGTGCGGTGTTTTTGTTAATTTGTTCAAAGTTAATCGTGCCTAATTCTCAAATTATTTTAAATGATTTTTTAGTGCTGTCGGTTAGGTAATCGGCCACGTTGCTAACGTTAGAATAGTTCTCAAGCAATCGAATGGATATTTTTGAAATTTTGCATTGCACATTGTATTTTGGCAATATTTCAAAAGCATTACAAGCCTGTCTCTATATTTAAACTATTTTATGGCTATTTTAAATAAGAATTATCGATTTCTCTACAGTGTATCCGAACTGCTCAGTTTAAAGATCAAGCAACTGTAATTGATTTACATTTTATTAATCACTGCTCTTAATCTCTTATCTTTCAGGCATTCTCAGCAATTCACTACTGAATAATTTATTTGTTTTGCGACAGAAGTAAGTGTTTACTTAAAATTGCTTTATTGAATAATTTTTTAAATAATGATTAGAAATTCTTTAAGACTCTGATAGCATCAGAATTGACATTTATTACGTCAAAATATATTCCATAATACAACCTCCTTAATCATGCTCACCACTTAAATCAAAATATAGTGTTGTAACTGCGATCAAATAAAAGCAAAAAAAAAAAAAACATAAATTATAAGTTGATAGAGAAAAAATTTGCATATCTTAAATTAATACTTAAATTATATCTATCTACTACGTGCAACGAAATTTCGAAAAATCGATAGTTTAAGTTTAAAGTACACGTTTCAGAGTTTTTCTCATGTTTGAGTCAGTTATTATCATTTTATCACGAATACATTGGAAGCATGTTCATATCTTTGCTAACAAATTAATAATACATAGGAAAGTGAGTAAAACAACTTCTTCGGTGCCAAGGCTACAAAGTAAAAGAATGGGAAAATTGACTTGCTATGTGAGGCGGAGGTGATGGTTGAGTTTCAATGGTTAAAAGCGATTTATCGGCGAAACTACAAGTGCTATTGAAAAAAATTTATGGGAATGGTTGTAGGTATTAAATCCATAACTTTTGTTCATACACCTTTTTCACATAACCTCAAATTTTATGTGAAAAATTATCAAAAAATTTATTTTAAAGAACTTAGTTTTTATGTCCCTAAAGTATGTGTTTTGTATTAATGTTTATTTTTCATTTTATATCAAAAAAAAATTAAAATAAAAAAAAAAAAAAAAAAAAAAAAAAAAAAAAAAAAAAACGCTAATTTTCAATCAAAAAATCTCATGTCAAAATATCAGTTTTTTTTTTAAAAATTAATGATCTAAAAACTACAGTAGAGTATCTCCAATTTGTAAATTCATTCAATTCATTTTGGGATGGCTTTCAGCATCTTAAGCGAATTTTCTCTTCGATCGACTGAAAACAGCTTCCAAGAGGCGGCAATTTCAGTTCGGAGAACTAGCAAAAGTCGAAAGAAAAATAAAAAAATATCCACTAAAATTATTCAAAGGGATTCCCGAGTTCTATTGCCATCTCTCTAGCACTTGCCTGATTTTATCATCACTTTCAGGATATGAAGGATATGAAGTGATGATAAAATCTCTTTTTTAATAATTTCAAGAGTTGAGGAGGTCCATGACGAGGCATGTTTTACTTTTGTGTTTGATAAAACCGAATTATCGTAAGCCATTGCAAACTTTTGCAATGATTTCGTAAACGAAATTTGATTGAAAAAGAAAAAGAAATTTTAGAGAAATCGATATTTTAGAGGGTGTAAAAATCGCGAAAGCGCACTACTGAGATGTATCGATTTAAGCAGCTGCTGTAATCAAACTAGTTGATGGATAGCGCTAATATTTGACATAGAAATTAAGGACAGTCCTTCCAATTTACCAAAATACATTTTTCTAAAATTTAGTTTACCCGGGGAATTTGTGGGTTTACAAGGAATTTCCCATTATTTCGTACTAGCTTATTTATTAGCCGTTTTTCCAGACTTAATAGGAGTTGTGGCAATATATTATATTTTCCACTGATTAACTAAGAGTAAGACTTCGTTGTGATAAAACTGACAAATGGAAATGCTGAGTAAAATCAACTAAGTAAGCTTGTGAGACTAAGTAGTGACCTTGGCAGATGGTCATACAGGTCGTATGAGTAATTTTTATGTAATTTTATATTTTAAAGGAAAATAATAAGTAGTTGGAGTCAACTAGCAGGAAGAAACTTTTGGCTTTTACCACATATACTTTCCAGCTCTTATTATTATTACCCTTTGCTGTTCGCATATTGTGTAGAATGAGTATTAGCAAATTAGTATAAATTGTTTAGGACAATTTGTAATATGTTTGTGTATATATTGATTTTGGTTGCTATCAAACAAACAAACAAAATACTTAGATATTTATTTCTTTACTAAATTCTTCAATATTTCGGAAACACGCCACTTCATAAACCACTCTGCAAGTCTGTACACAAACTATAATGAATATGAGCCGTCTTTGTTGTGAACACTCAAATGTTGCGTATACGCACGAGTGCACCATATTGTTGCGCTACACAATTTATATTCTTATGCATTTTGTTGGTGCGCGTGAGTTTATTGTTAGTTGGTAATGCCACTTGTAGTTTTCGCGTTGACAACAATGCGTTAATAACGGTCGGGCGAGAATGCCAATGAAATTTTATAGAATGCCGTGGCTGTAGCACTTTGTGTAAACGCTTTGTGTTTGAGGTTGCAAGTGTTCGATGCAACACTTTTGAGTGCTATGTTCCGCGCTATGTGCTATGTTAAGGGAAAAGTTCCGAGGGCCGCTTTTCAAACAAGCATATGTGTGCTTGCAAGCTTGTGTTTGTCATGCTTAACGTTTCTTTATGCTGTGTACGCATGAGTGAGGATGTTCATGTTTCCGCGTATAGCGCTTTCGCACAAGTAAATATGTACCTTGTACAGCGGTAATTAAGCGAAATTTAGTACAGAACATATTTTCTTTGTACGCCTGCACTTACATTGTGTACTCAAGTCCACGTCCTAACTGCTCCCGTTTCTGCTCATTAACCTACATTTGTATGATGCTGCTTGCTAATTGCTGCACCTATTAGTCGGCAATATTTTCCTAGTTACTTCGGCTGAAATTTCCAAGGCGGCACATGCCATCTGTAAATGCCTTTCCTTTAAAGGCTTTCATTTTCTACTCGGAAAGCAAAGCTTCGTCTAAAGTCTCGGAAATGTGGCTGCCGTTTTGGGGCTGAGAAGCAGCGCAGCTGACAGTTTCGATAGCAACAGTTACATTTACGAAAAATTTACCTAAAAATATTTGTTGGTGCCGCGTTTGTTTAGTATTTGTATGGTTTGTTGGTTGTTTAATTGTTTACTTTGTGTGGCAATATTTGCCGAAGGCATTTGCTTAAGGTTCGCCGGTTTATTTTTTCCGCATTCTGCGTACATATTCTGGGTGCGCACTTAATGAGCGATGTATTTTTGCTCCAATGTGTCGTTATTTCACTTTAGCTTATTTTATGACTTTGTTGGAATGTGCGATACTTTATGCGTCATTTTTAAGAAATTGGCCACAAAGCATACGTCTTTATGGCGGTAACATTTACTGTAAAATGCTCGAGATTAGGCCCGCCTATCTATTATTTTGAGAGAAAGAAGTAATTAGAATGGATTTCGTAACTATACAACTACCTAATTTGGAAAATACTTTTATTCTTACGCTCTCAAAAGTAGTTACTTTTGATTTCTGTCGAAGTTATCTGGTTATTCGATTTGTATGAAGTAATTCAGGAAATTTTAGATGATTCATTATAAAGGTATTTGGTCAGTTTAGAATTCTCGAAAAATCGAGAGTTTTCTTCGTCAAACCTGAAAAGATTAGGCAATTGGCGTGAACCGATGCATATTGGGTAGTTTCCCTTCAGGTTTGAACTACTCAAAATATTCTAAACGCCGACAATTTGCTGAACTATAATAATTATTTAAATAAAGTCAAAAATAATATTATACGTAATCCAAAATTGTTCTATAGTTTCGTCAACTCCAAACGCAGGATTTCTAATTTTCCGTCTGCTMTGAAATATAAGTCTAGTATGTCCAGTGACAATCACACCATTTCTAATATGTTCGCTGAAGTCTTTAGGTCCAATTACTCTCAAAAATCTCCAAAAAATGTTCCGCATCAGCACAAGCTATGTGCGATTTCTGTCATTAATGCACCTACCATTTCCGAAGCAGACGTCTTATATCAGTTAAATATATTAGAACAATCATACAACTACGGCCCAGATATGATTCAATCGTGCTTTCTTAAGAAATGTGCCAAATATATATACCAACCCCTAACAAAACTATTTAATTCATCTCTTATGCAAGGCTTATTTCCATCCATATGGAAAAAGTTATTTATAATTCCTTTGCGTAAGAGTGGATTTAGGTCATCAATTGAAAACTATAGGGGAATAGCAAAGTTGTCTGCAATACCTAAACTTTTTGAAGCAATTGTAACAGACGACATAACCTTCCGGATCTCTCCACTAATTTCTTGGTCTCAGCACGGTTTTCGTAAAGAGATATCTATAATAACTAATTTGCTTGAATTTGTATCACATGTATCAACGGGTTTTAGGGAGAATAAGAATACTGATGTTATATACACAGATTTTAGTAAAGCTTTTGATAAAGTAAACCACTCAATTCTTTTGAATAAACTTGATCTTCTTGGTTTTCAACCAATATATCTAAAATAGGTTGCTTCTTGTTTTAGTAATAGAGTTCAACAAGTTATATTTAACGATACTCTTTCCGACATAATTAATGTTCCTTCAGGTGTTCCTCAACGTAGCCATCTTGGTCCAATTCTGTTCTTGTTATTTATTAATGACATATCATCTGCTGTTAAGTTTTCAAACGTTTTATTATATGCTGACGATGTAAAACTTTTTA